ATTCTGTCTCTCATTAATTAGTATGAGTAAGCATTTCTATGTATCACAGTAGGTAAATCAATTAGAAAAAAAATAATTTCTTTTGGTCTAGACAACTCAATTATGACATTTACATGGGCTTTTTTCCCTTTAAAATTCCAATATATTTCATTAGTTATGCCCATCTACATTCTTTAATACCTAAATGAATTAAAGTAATGAGAAAAGAACAGCCCTCAGTAGTCAGCTCTACTAAAGGACAGTTTTTCACCTAGAAGCCTTCCATCTGCACACTTGCATGGGAAGAGTAGATAAACAGAAAATGACACAATAAAAGGACAAATATAAGCAGATTCTGAGTCACCCAAGCTACTAGATAGTGCATTACAGCTGAGAATAATATCTCATACAATTTATACAGGTTTCTTCCTTGACACATCTAAAAATAGACTTGTATGACAGTATAGATGCCCTATAAAACTCTGTAGAGATCTAAAAAGAAAGAATGGCTGTATAGTGCACATCTGCACAGCAGCTTCCTGAAGGAATTTTTGTAGCAGTTATTCTATAAATGCTGCAGGGGAGACTTTTCATTCTAAACTGATAAATTTTATGGAAGTTTAATACTGCATTCATAGAAACTTTACATCATTATATATTCCCATAGTTGCCCTCTGATTTTAGGCTAGCTCCCTTATTGCATTCTAAATCACAAGGTATTAAAAACTATAATTTTTAAGATATGAATCTTCTCCTCTGAAGTTTTTTTGCATCATCTTTCCCACTGGAGCCCTAGCTTTGCTACAATCTATAACTACTGCTGCCATACAGAAAACAACAGAACAACTAAATGCATTGCCATGAAGAAAGCAAAGGAGTCTGCAGCCCTGCCAAAACACATAACTCTCCATCATTTAGAAAGCTGCAATGATATTTCAAGACTGTACATGATTTTAAATAACTTAAAGAACCACATGACCAAAGAACATGCAGCAAACACAAGACAGAAAAGAACTTACCATTCCTCCTGGAAAAGTAATCCTTAAAAAAAATCCAAAATAAATCAAAACAAGCAAATAACATATTTCAGTAGCTATTAAATCCTTTTTTCCCCTCACACCAGTGTCTGAAAGCTACTTCAGTTGTTTCAATACAAGAATTTCCTAAGTAGGTAGCAAAAGAAAACTGCTCAGCCAGTCTGTTTAAATGCATTTAGAAGGTACCACGTCCTCTAATCTTTCAGGTAAATGTTTTTATTTCCACACAGTTGTAGGGGAACAGACTTCAAGGCTGATGTCTGAATGTGCCAGCTGGGAATTGCTGTGACTCAGTGACAGCCCTCTGAGAGCTGCAACGAGGGACTTGGAACACTGACACAGAGCCACAGGCAGGTGACAATCTGCACTGAGATAGGGCACTTATGCCAAATAAATACTCAAGTAAACCCAGGAGAATTATTTCCATGATCAAGTACACATTGTGATGAATTTAGGACTGTTCTAGAGTACTCTGTGAATAGAGTGTGCTATCTTGTTGGGCTGTTTCCTGCCTGCATATGTATGCTCATTTGACTGCTGTAAGGAAAACCAAGCATAAAAGAAAATCAATGGCTTGAAAGAGGAGGACTCTCCAAAGAACTGCAGATTAATTTTCCAGGGTACACACAAACTATTTTTCCAAGAAAGCCAAATCCTACAAAAGCAAAGTTGTGACATTATAAACAGATCTCTTTCCCAAGTGAGCAGGTAACTGTTTGAGATCCTGCCAGACACACCATCTTTTTCAGACGAATGGAAACTTGTCTGGGCTAAGCATGCAAAAGTGGACATCTCATGGGGTATTTCCTTTTTTTTGGACATATTTCTCTCTGTGTTGGTTTGTTGCTGATTTATGAGCTGAACATTTTTAGAGCAGTTAGGTGTCTACACTGGATGATGCAGAGGGCAGAAGTAATAGACAAGGAGGCAATTGTTCCCTAAGTCCATGCCAGGGTGGGAACAGACGCTCACCTACACTTGCAAATGTGACTCTCATGTTCCTGGTGCTTTCCTTCCCTCCCAGTGAAGGCACATTTTAAAACCATGTTCTGTTGTAATGCATCCTAAGGAAAAGGGGAAAATTCCTGCTGCTGACAAACAACAACAGTGATTGCCATGTTTCCTGTTTTCAGATTGGGAAAGGATGAATTTTACAGGTTCTCACATGTTACTCTTCAACAGTGGTAAGATCTCTGCTGTGATCTATGTAACTTATTTTTGTACTTTTTTGAGCAGATCAAAATCCAGAATTGATTCCATTTTTGTTAAGGCTTTTTTGATGTTGTTGTTGTTTGATGCATATTATGGTACTTAATGTGTACACCATTATAAAATGGCATTACTTTTTAATTACACTCAAAATATATATACTCTCACAGACCAAAGGAGGCCAAAAGCCACTCAGGCCCATAAGTGAGACCACTTAGAAATACATAAAGCTTTGGGATGTGTTGGCACTGGTGGTCAAAAATTTCAGAGACAGGATAACTCTATGATGCTGTAACTGCTGACTGAAAGGGAACAAATGGAAATCTCTACATTCCCTCAGCGTTGCCTAGAAACCAGGGGAATATTTCTAAAAATGCCTACTTACATTTATGTGTTTTAATTATCTATGTGGTGGGAAAAGCATAGGAATAAATAAGGAAGAGACTATGAGAAATCTGTCATATGGGTTTGTACAGAACAGCCTAACACTGTATGTTGAGTACTACAAACTGAGTATTTGGGAAACTTATATTCAGAAAAAGAAACAAACAAAAAAGTCTTTTGAAAGTCTAGAAAAAACTATAAACAGGTTTATTTTGGGGTATTTTTTGTTTTGTTTTTGAAAAAGCAGAGACAAGTGTTTTCTGTGACATGATCTCTGTAGTAGAGAGTATTACAGCCAACCACATAGAGGTGAGAATCTTGTACACTTACTTTTATTCTCTCCAGTATCTTCAGGTATCTGAAATGGAAACTGTTTAAAGACTATCTCTACCTTTAAAATCTACAGATTTAACAATCTGAATTGTATCGAAGTATAAACCAGAGGTTTATACTTTTGTGTTTCAGAGGCCCTGAAACACAAGAACAATGGTAAATAATTTCCTGAAGCCCTTTCCCCAAATCTCTAATTTCACACACAATCTGCTTCAGAGAAAAAAAAAAAAAAAACTACCAAAAATAAACAAAATAAAACAAAACAAAAAATAAAACCACAAAAAAAAATTGACAAAAGCTAACAAACAAACAAAACCCACACAAAAACTCTTTGGATGGTGGTTTTTTTTGGTTTTGTAGCTTTTTCCTGGCAGATATTTTCCAAGAGATTGACCTCAAATCCAAGAGACATAAAGGAAAATGACAAAATGCTATACAATTATTTTGATTTGACAAGAAAGTAAGGTGCTTGTGACCTTATGGTTGACAGTAGTTGAAATGCCACAGGAACTGACGCTTTTATATAAAAAGCAGTCTGAAAGAGAGAGGGCCGCCTGAAGATGGAGGACCAGTGAGTTTCCAGGGTATATATTTCTTTCCCTGACCTCTCCCAGACAAATTTGACACCAACTACATTTAAGGAAGATGTAACAGAAAACAAACTGCCAAAATGATAACTACAACATGAATCACAGAAACTAAGGCTACATCAAAGGAGTACTTCATAATTGGTACATCTAAAATTAAAAGGGACATCACAACATTCAATAGTCAGAACCCTACTGAAGAGTTTTTTTGAAGTATTTGGTAGAGTCTACACAAAGTACTGGGGCAGATAAACTACTGATTTAAACCAGCATGTATGTTTGTGTGACCAAGTGGGAACATTGACTGAGGTAGAAATAAGGAAGAAAAGTTGTTTTTAAGTAACATCCACTTGATTTTGCTATGATTTTGAGCTACATTCAAATGAATTTTTCTAGCATGTAAGGAAGTGTAGCAAATAATATAAAACACTGTCTTTAGCCTATAATTAATACTTATTTCTAGATAGTGAAGGGGAATGTCCTTCCATCTGGGACAATGTGATCTTGTGATGTGTTAGGTTATGGAAGGGACTGCAGTACTGCTGGCTGGTCAGTGAGAAAAATCTTCACACAAAAAGCACAAAAACCCTCAGAGATTTCCCTAATTAGTGTGGTGGTGTTCGCAGGGGTCCCAGGACGAGAGAAGAGACGAGGACCTGATTTCATGTTTCAGAAGGCTTATTATTTTATGATATATATTATATTAAAACTATTCTAGAAGAATAGAAGAAAGGATTTCATCAGAAGGCTAGCTAAGAATAGAAAAGGAATTATAACAAAGGCTTGTGACTGACTGAGACAGTCCGGACAGCCGGGCTGTGATTGGCCATTAATTGGAAACAACCACATGAGATCAATCACGGATCCACCTCTTGCGTTCTACAGCAGCAGATAATCACTGTTTACATTTTGTTCCCGAGGCCTCTCAGATTCTCAGGAGAAAAAATCCTAAGGAAAGGATTTTTCATAAAACATGTCTGTGACAGATTAAGGAAAATAGCAACCTGTCAGACAAACTGTAAATATCACCCTATTGCTTCTTCACAAAGTTCAAATTCAGCATATCGGCATGCATACATTAATCAGTGATGGGATCAAAGGCTGCTTTTTAAAAGGTTATTTTGGGGTTCATTTTTAAGGTGCAGTTCGTTTTCAAAGACATTGAGATTAACTTCTTCAGTGTAAAGCACTGGCAACGCTCTAGGCTCTCGCTTTGTTACTCGTTCTCTCAAATATCAGTAAATTCCTCCGGGGCATTCATTATTCTTCAACTTCCCGTCAGGTTCCGAGGAAAGGCTTGGTTGCTGCGGGCCCGTTACGGCCGGGGACAGCGCCTCCCCGCTGCAAGGGCGTTTCGGGCCCGAGGCCCCGCCCGGCCCGGCCCAGGCCCCGCGCCGCCGCCGCGCGCCCGCCGCCATGGCAACGCCGAGCGGGCCCCGCCGAGCGCCGCCCGCCCGCGCCGCGGGACGAACCGCCGCAGCCGCCGAGCCCGGCCGGCGCCGCCCCCTCGGGCCCGGCCGGGAGCATGGGGCTGAGGATGCAGGGCGGCAGCAGGCGGAGCCAAGGTGCGGGGGGCTCGGTGGCGGCTGCGGGAGGAGCGGGGAGTGCCGGCCGCGGCGGGGCGGCGGCCGCAGCCCGGGGGACGCGTTGCCTTCCGGCCTCCCCCGACCCTGCCGGCCGTGGGGGTGCGGGGCGCGGCCCGTCTCGCCCGGGACTGGGGGCAGGCGGCGCCTCCGCCTTCCCCGCTGGCGTGTGTGAGTGAGCACGGAGCCCACGGAGCCGGGACGGGGCCCCACGGAGCTCGGGGGCCGCCCGAACTGCGGGGCTCGGGGGGATCGCGCCTCGCTCCTGCCCTCGCGGCCGCCCCGAGCGCTGCCGGCCCGGCCGTGCCGCGCGGGGAGCCGGCGGGGCAGGGAGCCGGGTGCCGCCGCTCGGGCAGGGAGCCGGCAGGGCAGGGAGCCGGCAGGGCCGCGGGGCAAGGAGCCGGCGGGGCAGGGAGCCGGCGGGGCGGCGGGGGAGGGAGCCGGCAGGGCCGCGGGGCAAGGAGCCGGCGGGGCAGGGAGCCGGCGGGGCGGCGGGGGAGGGAGCCGGCAGGGCGGCGGGGGAGGGAGCCGGCAGGGCAGGGAGCCGGCGGGGGAGGGAGCCGGGTGCCGCCGCTCGGGGAGGGATACGTACGGCCCGGGACTGGCTGTAATCCTCCCAGAGTCGGGCCTGGAACTGTGCGCGCTACAGCCGTCTCCCCACGGTGCCTCCTTACGGTACCGGCATCGAGTGCTGCTGGGGCAGCGCTTCAGGCTGCCGGGATTTCTTTGCCGGCATCTTTTCTTAGTTAACTTTCGTCTTCTCCAAAGCTGTTATTCATGGGTTATATTGGATTGTACTCTGTGTGTACAGCGTCCCACGGTGTTTAGCTGTAGATCAAAGTGTTTTGGTTTGGTGGGATTTTAATGCGAGTGTAGTTGAAAAATAAAAGACTCAGAAGTTTTGAAGGTCCTATAAAGTGATTCCTTACCCACATTTAGCCATCCGTGCCCTGTTCCTATGAATAGTCCTAGGGGCACTTGTCATTCATGATAAAAAAGGGTGCAAACATGCGAAAATGCTTGCATGAGCCAACTGTGGCTTTTGGAAAATACCTAAAATATTTTGAGGTATAAACTTGATTACGTGCATAATGTAAAACAGTGGTAGGAATTATTCAGTGCTGCGTTGTAATGTCAAGATCATACATGGCTGCATAAAATCAGAGCCATTTGAGATAACATTAGGCTGTTGTGTTGTATCTCAGTGTCAGTTCCAATCTTTGGAGACAGTGACAGATGCCACTTCAGAAGATGTCTGATATCAAAGTAGAGTTTGAACATAAATTATAATACTATATAGGAATATAAAATTCAGAGCAAAAACTAGTATCTTGTACACCAAATTTTTATGCTGTCTTACATAATATGAAGAAAGTTTTATGACAAATACATCCTTTTTCTGACTATTCTTGCTATTGTCAAAATGCTTCTATAGACAATCAGAAAGCATGCCAATTGTTGACTGTGAAAAGAGAATAAGTAGGAGTCAAGATCTAAATTTCATTCAGGTTGCAGCAAGCTTTACCTGAATGACTTCTGTTTAGCAAAAAAAGTTCAAAAGTAGGGAAGAATTACTGTGTGTCTGTTAAATTGGGAAGCCATTGCCTGTCTGCATAGGAGGTCACAATGGAGGCAGAATTGTGTGGCTGAACAGTCCATGTGGGGGTTCTCAGGCTCCTTACAGAGAGCAAGGATTAGCACAGGCAGACAGACAGACTAATACACTGAGCTGAGCGGGAAATCTGTGTGCCTGAGCAAACTTGGCAGAACAGCCGCTGGGTTGCTTGCAGTTCATGAAAGGAGGAAAGCACATCATATTTATGGTTTCCCAAAAGAGTTGTATCTAAAACATTAGTACAGAGAAAGTGGGATACACTATTCCATGTCCTGGTTGTATGCCATGCAAAGTTTCTTGTTCAGTCTTAGCCTCATCATTTTAAAGAACCAAAATGTGGCGCTTGTTTGTATCAGGCCTTGTTTTGTCTAGCGAGAATACTGAGAAAATAGATATATTTTTAATATATCAGAGTATTTAGGATTTTCGTGTAGGTCTTGTCAAAGTTCAAATAAGGCTGAGATTTTTTTACCCTCCTAGAAATACCAAAGAATTAATCTGCTGTGTTTTTCCCTAATTCCAGGTATAAACCTTGAAGTTATTTACTGTTGTATTTTCAGGAGTTAATATACTCACAGTTAATATACTCACAGATTTGTAGTATGACCTCAAATAATCTGAATACTGTAATTTTAAACCAGCTTTGTTGCTTAAATCCAGTCCCCTGCCTTGGGCTGTTTAATGCCCATTGCTGTTCAGGTATGTGTTCAGGAACAGCAATACCTGACAGCACCGTGCACTTACTGTTAATCAAGGACACACATTTGGGCCACTTCTGTCTGACAGCATAAAGTGGGGCTGAGTGGGGAGCTCATCATTACTGCTGCATGGAGGCTGCTGTTAGCTTTAGGCAATTTGCACAGGATTTTAAAACAAAATTTAAATGCTTCACATGTTCATAGACAACGTCATCTTATTTAGATTTTTTCTTGCATTGTAGGAAGTCTTTGCATTAATCTGACTAGAGCTGAAAGGGTGTTAACACAGAGACTTGTGAACTATTTTTTTTTAAATTCTTTTTTTATTTATCACTTGAACAAATAGCTTATTAAATTTACTAAATTCTTTTTTTGGTAGCACCAGTTTTTAGAAGCTGAAATTTCCTTTGGCCAACAAGAAAGATGGAAAATTATCTAGTTATGTCTTCAAAGAAGGAAGGACATTTACAAGTTTTATTTGAATCATAATAATTTTAACTGAAATTACACACTGATTGGGTGAAGAGTCTGATACCCACCTCATCACAGCCTCCTTCCAGGTAGTTGTAACAAACTGACATAAATTCATTTTCTTTTGCCTGCAGTTCTTATCACAGTTGTGCTACTGACACACACAGCTGTTTCTGCTTTTGAAGTGTGAATAGAGCAAGAGTTTGCATACAGAACTTTGCTTGCTGAAGCCTATTGCTAGAAAAATTTTAACAAATATTTTTCCAGAGTTATGTAATCAGATATGACTCGAGGCTACTGTATTATTTAATTAGGTTCCTTAAATTTTTCAGAGGAGGGTTTGACTCTTGAAATACAATTTTGGTTGCATGGTTTTAATTAATACAGAATACTCTAAGATTATTAATTCTAAAGGTCTGAGAGACCTAACTCTTAGGTATTGAGAGTATGTGTATAGAAGAGCTTTTGTGTAATCCAGCATAGTAAGTGTATAAATAGCACCCATCTAATTAATGGCTTAGGAGGTTATGTATAGTGCTGGTCAGGAGATGTATAATTTTTATCATATTTTGCCTGTGACACTAATGATCCCATGCAGAATTCAGATGGAAAATTTGGGACTTTATTTCATAATTGGAGTGTTGTGATTTCCTGGGTCTCTATTCTTTGAGTTTTGCTTTAGGAAGTTTAGATAATAATGACTATCCTTTCTGCTGGTGATTTCTGCTATTTATTAACAAATCTTAAATGAGATTATTTTAAAGATGACTTCACATGTGAGGCTTTATATTCCCACGACTGATAAGTAAAACCAGAAAGGGGTCCAAGAGGCTTTTGTTTCACTTGCATGAACAGGAAAGAAAATACAGGTGGGATTATGACATGCTTGTTTTGCCTCACTGTAACTTTCAAATAAAATGGAGCAGTATCTGCATTCAGTAAGTGGCTAAATCTAAAGCCATGTTTGAAGGCCTCTCATGGTTGCATAGGTGCTGCAGAAAAGCAGTGGAGACTTGCCATGTTTGCCCCTGTGTTCTTCACCTAGAGAAGGAGTCTGTGAGTGGGTCACTGCTCTCTGCTGGCCTTTTTGTCTAACCACTTCTGCAGCTGTTTGCCACCTTCACCCATCTGTGAATAAACTAGGAGCATTGGTATTACCCAGGCTGGGCAGGAGAAAACCCAACAAATTAATGCACATTTTGTAGAGAAACTCATTCTGTTCTGAGTTCATTCCCAGATATGTAAGTAGAGGGTAAGAACCAGGCAGCCAAGGATAAGCAACCAGAGAAGCTTAAACTAGATGAGCAATTGTTCCTGTAGCACCTGGTCGGCCACAGCTGAGCAAGTAGGGAGTGTTTGAGGGGAGGAATGGCCACAGGTAAGGAAGAGGCAGCAAATTGGGGATATTGAAAGGAGTTTAGGGGGGATGGTACAAAGATGTAAGCTACATGAATAGGAGGCCTGGCCTCATTAGTAGTACTAACAGAATATGGGGGGTTTTTGAGTATATTGTGCTAATGTGAAGGGAAAACAGTTAAAAATAGAAAAAATTAGTTTCTTATTTAAATAAAGTTTAAATCCAATGTGGATTTTCATAACTAGGTTAATCTTTTAATGTACTCGGAGCTATCATCTTTCCTCTGTGTATTTCTGTGTTGTATTCATATATACAAAAATCTCTGTAGCATAAAGAATTAATGGATACTCTGGTTTGATAATTCTCCTAGTAACAAAAGGCAAGGAACATGTATTTCAGGTTATAATTCAATTCTTTAAGTATGACCTTGTCAGACATATTAGATAAAATTCTTAAAGGAGTTTCCATCACTGCTTGAAGTAATTTCGGATTTCACAGAGATTATTTAAACCAGTTTTGTTCTTTCCTCAGCATGTGTGCAGCATTAGTGTTGTTGTGTACTGTTAGTTGTATAGAGTTAGCAGAGTTAATTCATAGCAGGAAGCCCACTGAAGAGGTCATAAAACTGGTTGGTAGAATAAGGGTGGTAATGGCAGACATCCTTGATGTGTATGAAATTCACAGCACAAACCGTCTGCATGTTGTTGCCTGAATTACTCACTTGTGGAAAGGTGTCTCTTTAACTATTTCTGGTTTAGAGCATTGAGATATTAGGGAAGTAAAAAAGGAAGAAAAAGAGTAGGCAGTTAAAGAAGCAAGAATAGCAAACCTTTATAAATCACTGCAGTAGCCGGAGTCTTTGCAAAGCATTTGTCAGCTTGGGTCCTTATCAGTCTCAGAGGGATCAAATGCCCAAATCTCTTGCAAATGATGCAATTCTAGTCTGTTAGAGGCAGAGGTGTTTTGCATTGCCAGCTGAGAGGAGGCCACTATAGAGCTAGGAATGCAAGAGTGCTGGAGCCCCCAAAACCAAACTGCTGCACAGAAGGGTCAGTATTGACAGTGATAAGCATATTCTTCTGGAACAGCTGGGGAGACCTGAGGTCTAAATCCACCTGGGGCTGAGGGTTGTTTGAACCCAGGCTAAGGTCTGGGAGCTGCCTGCTGGAAATTACAGTGTTCACAGGTCTCTAGATAAGGTTTGATGTCTTGTAGTGCTGGATTTAGATGCCTATATCCAATATCCCCTCTAAGATCTCTGTATTTTCATGGATTATCTTTAAAGTAGCAAGTCTTGATGGGTAAGGGTAGCATGATAGATTGCTTTATTTATTTAATTTTCATTTGCTATGACTGAAGTACATGTTTGTTATAAAAATAGTAAGACTAATACTTGTGTTTAAAATCTTTTCTGGGAGAACATGGTAATGAAAGACTGGGCTTCTTTCCAGTATGTATTCACGCTCCAAATCTGAAATGGCTTTGTGGAAAAATCATTTCTATAAATGATGCCTATCCACTAACAACCAGGAAACAAAATAAACTGCTAATTTTTATAACTTTTAATACTGTAAAATCAGAAATTAGGATAGGATGCATTTTAAATTAAAATAAAACTAGAATTTAAACAAATATCTTTCTGTTTTCTTTGGAATAATGTAGTTATTACTTACGTTAGATACCAGCTGGAAAAAATATTAGAGAAAGCTGTTTTAGTTTTTTCTTTATTGTTGCTTAGTGTCATAGAAGGATCTAGAAGATCAAATAAATTTTTAGAAGTATTTCATTTGTTTGCTGTCTGTACTTTAGGAGAACACAGTATGAAAATCCTAATTTTATATTCAGTGAGGATGGTCCACTTATATCTATAAGGAGATTTACGTTTAGATCAGATAGTTACATGTGTCATATATCAAAGATTTTTTTGGAGTTATCCTCCCATTGTTTGGTTTATATTTGATTAGCTGTAAATTACTGAAAATCCCACCTTCTTTAAAATTCTCTTCATATATCTAAGCCTTCAGTTTGTTTCTGCTGTTGTGCAAATAACTGAAAATACAGCTGGAATCTAAATAAATACCTGTTCAAGGGAAAAGACAGCCTGAAATGATAGCTGTGAAACTTTTGACCATTAGCACTTTCTGCCTTCAGGAAGGTAAAAAGAGCCTGCCCATACCAAATTCTCCAGTTTCTTCTCTGACATTAGCAACATGTGTTTTCACCATAAGAGTGATTTCTGTGCCGTCTCTATGTCCATAGTCCAAGTAGAGGATATAGAAATGTTCTTTACTTTTCCCGACTGACACTTTTTGACAGCTTTTTTCACCTGTGAAATAGTGATGCCAACTCCTTTTTTCCTCTCTGCTCCTTCCCCGGGTACAAGCCAGGTACAAATGAATTGTAAAGGACCGAACCAGCAGACAGTTTTTCCTGTAGAATTTCCGCTGTGCCATCTGCTGGTGATGCAAAGCAAGTGAACCTTGTAAAGTCCAGTCTTGCAGTGCTGAGCAGTTGTGTGTCCAGCTGAAGACATAAAAAGCAACAGGTTTCTGAGTGTCCCTGATGGTGTTTAATGTGGGACAAAGTCATTTAGCTTACCTGAAGAGAATCAATTGTAGAGAGAGCAGTGTCTGTTTTTTTTTAAAGTGATCATGTTTGCCCTTCTAGGATTCTGTCACATAAGGGTGAGTCAGTGGTACTGTAAGCATTTACCTAACAATACCACAGATTCTTCCCTCTGGAATTATAGCCAAGCTCTGAAGCACAAAAAGCAGTAGAATATTTAGGTTATTTAAGCAATTGTAAATGAAACACTTCTGATTCCCAGTTGTCTGCTGTAATCCAGATTTCAGGTATATATGCATGCAGGTTTTTATCACTAGAGAAAATTCTATCAACTAAAATTTATAATCTAATATTCAAGTCCTCCCAAAGACTTGCATTCTTCCAACAACTGCATGTTGTAAATTCTGGAAGTCATGGGTTTCGGGGTGGATCCAGCTAGACTGTGGATACATTACTGTATGTAGTAATGTATGGTAGAGAAATAAAATATTTTAACAGGACATAAATGCTTTATTGGAAAAGGTTTGCAGTCATTGTGAAAACATTCTGAATCTAATAAATATAATAAATGTATGTTGGAATTTTAATATTTGAAAAATAATTTATTGTTTGTCCATATGTATCTCAGTTTAAATTACAAACTGAGATAAGGAAGAGTTGTGCCATGAGGGGAATGAGCCATTTGAAATCGATACAGATGAGCAGGAGTGTTGTCCTTTGTATTTAAAGATAACAGTAAAAAGTTAAACAAATTGCAGGATAGTGTTGAAAAAATCTCCAAGAGCATTTTCTTCTTTTTTTTTCCAACTGCTGATCTGGCAACTTCACAGCAAAAGAAGTGAGAGTGCTGTTACTGCAAACACCACAGCTACTACTGTAAATACACAGAAGCCTGTACTGTATAAAGGCTGGCTTTTCAAAGTATGAAAGTAATTCAAGATTGCCCTTGTATTTTCTGTGCTTTGTAAGAAAGGTTGAATCTGTTGATCCAAATTTAGTATTATTTCACAACAGGGGAAAATTATTTTAATTTTTTTCTTAAGATATTTTTTATAGCCTCCTATACTAGCAGTAGTCATTCAAAATTTAGTACAGTATGGCTTTTTTATAAGGCCTTGAGTAAATAATGTTAAAACATTGTTAAATGAATGGTTTGTTTTGCTGCAATCTCTGCTAATTAATATTTAAGACACCATGTTCACCATCTTGTGCAACACGCTGTTGAACTTAAATACAGAGTTACATACCATGGTAGTTATATATGTAATTGCAATAGTACTTTACCAATCATGATATAACAGTGGGAAATGAAAAAGAAGCCCTGGAGAGCCAGGTGCTGGGCATGCAGGAGGTGAGCTGTGAGAGGTGGAATGAGGGGCTGTTGCCATGTGTGGCATGGCTGTCACCATGGCTCCCTGCCCCCTGGTCAGTTTGTAAAGGTAAACAGCCTTTATCACCCCAGCTGAGGTTACTGGGAGGAGATTCCTGCTCATACTGGGAAGGTCCAGTGCGCTTCTTCATGGGCTGAAAGGGGGAAAGCCAGAGGTCAGCAGGAGCAGTAGAGCAGTTGAGTTACCCACTTCACCTGCATGGTGGTTGCAGAGCCTTGAAATGACAGCTGAGAACTACAGTGGGGATGGGAAGACCACATGGACTTTGATAGTTAATAGTATTAAATTTGTAGAACTTGTCTGTACAGTTTTAGAATTGATGTTAAGTAAGTGTGGTTGGTATACTTACCCTGTTAAAAACATCCTGTTTGTTTTGGTTACATTTTATATAGCTTGAATGCCTTAAAGCAATGCACTGTATGCACTAGTATTTGTAGTCCTGGCATTTCTCCTGTCCAAATTTGTTCTAAAACAAATTTGTTCTAAAGCCAGTTTTTAAATCTTAGGTTGCATGACAGCCGCAGGTTTTCAAAGAGGAGATGCAGATCTTTTAATCCACGTTCTCTCAGTTTCCAGAGCAACTGGTTGTTTAAGTTTTAAGAATCTCCGCTTGTCTGTGGAATTCCCAGTCTATCAAAGTGCCATGAACTTTGAAACAAACTAGAGGTTAGCATAGAAACAGAATTGTGACTGTATCTCTGTAGAGTTTAATGACCAGTGTTACGTTCAGACTAAAGTGTTCTGATGGTCTGTTCTGCTGTTTAGCTCACTGAACCACTGAGAGCGCTATCATTGCATCTTGGTGTTTAGATTAAATTATTTAACTACATTAATAGTTCAGTGATTATAAAATGATTGAAGAAGATTTTGAAGAACCATTCTTGCATTTTTTGGAGAAAGACTTTATCTAGTCTATAAAAATATGCGTGGGGATTTTTTTCTAACTTTGGTTTTTGTTTCATGTTTAGTTAAGATGAATGAATGCTCAGGTCTTGTCATTCCCAGATGTGGTCCAGCAAGTCCATTTAAAGGACACTTAAGTAATAAAAGTAATGGTAAGTAACATGTACTTTCATCAGGTTGACTTGGTTCCATTTATGTGAATTCATTGATTTTGTGCTTAATTTTTTCTTAAAACTTCTGTATCAAGCTTATTTGGAGTAGTTTAATAGTACTTATGTTTAGTATGCATTACTGAAAATACTTTCAAGGAGTTAGTTTTACCTTGACTTTACTGCTGACTACAAATTGGTAGCAAGATGAACAAATATATAAAGATCTCCCATCTCTGTTAGCTGTAATATACTTATATATATAGACATATATATATAGATATGTTTACCACATTAAAGAACCCCTGAAGTTAAATGCATTCCTTTAGAGCCAGTAGTTTACATGGGCTAGTTTGTGATTCTGTGCTATACTGACACCTCAGACACCTTTTTTTCTAAAAAGAACATAGAGTGAAGAACAGGAAGTTTCCATGTTAACATTTTTGTAGTACAATTTCAGCTACTTTTGCAGCTATTTATTGAATTAATGGCTCATTGAGGAAAGAAAAAGGAGACATGATGATTTCGTGTGATAGTAACTGATAAAAAAAATACTGCCTTTGAGCAAAGTTAAACAGTGTCTTAAAGTTTGTGAGTTTGAATTGCAGTTAATAACTGTTTAAAATTGTAGTATTCTTTTGCTTGCCTTTCCAATGTTCAAATGTATTTTAATCTTACAGCTTTCTGCATTTGCTCCTCTCGAAATCTAGCTAGCCAATACCTGATCAGAGATCACATGGTGGTTCATTATAACAGAGTTCTTGCAGCCAAAGGTAAAAATGTGCATGTATGAATGAACTGTCTCCCCCTAAATTTACCTCAGTCTCTCAGAATAGCCTCATACCAAGATGGGATGACTGGATTGTAGAAAATTGCTTTTTCTTACCCATACATGTGTCAGCAAGGAGAGATGGTTTCTACTTAATAATACTTATGTATGATTGAGATGGGAAGTCTTGTATGAAAACATTTTCCTTAAATGTTACCAAAGATTCTACCTTAATTTTAGAGCACTTTGTGCTGTATTGGCTTCATTCTGCTTTTGATGAAATAATGAATTATGAAATAATAGGCTGAACTGAAGGTCATAGTGACAGTCATAACAGCAAATATACAGAAATTATTTTAGGAATGAAGGCAGAACATTTCTACTTAAACTCAGATCACAATGTCTTTTATTATTTTTATTTCAAAAACTTAATAATCTTTTGTTCATCTTGCAATGAATAGTAATAACAAGTTCTAATGACTGTGAAAATTGCCCTGTGTAAATGAGAAAATCATGTTACTGACAGAGTCCATCCTCACAACTACAATACTCACAATGTTATGTCTCATGACATTCTCAGTATCCTCAGGGATGCAGGTAAATGCTATCAGAACAAAATGTACAGAAACCTTTTGAAAGGAGTCTTCATTTAAGTGATGATTTTTCCTTTAAATATGTGTTTTACCCAGAGAGCTTTATCTCAAATCCTGTGGCCATATTAATGACAACCTAATACTTTAGGTACACAGTAACTAGAATATTTTAAAATAAACAATTAAATTAGTCTTTTTCTGTGTTGGTTTGTTACTCCATTTTTCTAGCTATCACATATACTAAGTAAATATTGAGTCACTCACATTTGGTGTTTTTCTTATTTTCAGCAGCTGTAGACACTTCATTGCCCAAAAGTAGGTTGGCCAGCATCAAACGTAAGTATTTGTTATATATTGATTCTGCAAATGCTGCTGTAAAACTGACTTAGCAAAAGAGCCAGTGAAGAGTAACAATAGCATATAACCCTTAACTGAGCATTCATGTGTCTGCTTGTTTATTCAGCTTTCACATCCTCCTTCAGCTACTTGGAGGTAGCTTGAATCTGCATCAGTGGAATGCTGGAGAGATGGATCTGGGCTGGCAGGGATTAGCTGTGCTTAGCAGGACACTTCATTTGTCAATGGCAAAAGTGTCTCAACTGCAAGAGATAGGATAATCTTAAGTATATGGTACAAATGCATAGCAAAATCGTGGACCTTTCTTAACAAAAACCTTTGAGGATTTCTCTCACTGCTCAATGTGTGCATGTAACTGCTGTCTTTTTTCTGACCTGCATTACTTTATATGCTGCTCCATCTGACTAAGATTCCTTCACAAATAATAAGAAACTCTGCCATTTAGGCTGAAAGTTTTGTAGTTATCAAAGAGGTAATTCCATGAGAAACACCTACTTCCAAATTCATCATTTCTGGTCTCACTGACTTCTCAGTATTTAAAGTTAATACCACCCAGGTATATCTTGTTCAGTTTCTGCACTATCCTTATAAATTCTAGGTTTTTATAATAAAATTTAAAATTATTTCAATTTTATTTCATACTTATAATTAGAGTGACTGCATTTTTTCCCTGCAGTTCTATGCATTGTTCATCAAGAGATACACATTTCTGTACTGTAATGACCTTGCAACCAAGTGTGACATGTTCAGGTGTTGAGCTCAGTGCAAGGTACCATTTGAAGAGTCTCTGGTAAACCCTGGAGAATCATTTTTCTTCCTCCATTGTTCTGTGAGACAGATTACATGGAGATGACAGCCAATAGCTCAGACAGGAAGAATGTTGCAAATATGCTGAGGAAGAAAAGTAATAAAAAAGGGTTTTAGAATATTTTCAAAACAATTTCTTCTTTCTTGCTCAAGATGAGACACGTGATTTAGCCAGGCACAATTTTAACTTCAATGTGGTTGAATATCAGCAGTATCTTTAGTGTCACTGAGGATGAGGGGTTTACACCTTTATTCTCACAGTAGTTCACTGTGAGTAGTTCTCTCAGTGGTATGTCATTGTTTTAACTGAAGCTTATTATTACTTTTTTCTCTTTGTGTTCTTTGTGTAGTTATTGCATTCCAAATAAAGTTTCTGTTCCCCCTCTATTTCAGGATTTGGGCAAGAGGGTAAATTTAGATCAAAATTATAAGATTTATTAATAGCATAGAGTTACAAAACAGAATTCCTGCAGATAGTGTTAAAAAATACCTCCTGAAAATGTGCTTTATGTACTGCTAGAATAGCAGGTGAGTATTTCCCTTTGGGGTTGTTGCCATGCATCAGTCATTAGTGTTTAAGAATCAAACATGATACTGTAGTTGGCATTCTCCCTGGCCAACTGAATGTGTTCTGTCCTTAAAGTGGATTTAGTTTCCACTGTTCTTTTCCTGGTATCTTAGCTGGCAGCAAGGCAGGCAAGGTGCCATGCCCCTGGGCTAGCAATGAGCATGTTCCTGTGTATTCGATCAGGCTTACTGACTTAAAATAGTTGTTAGAATGTGAAACTTCTTGAAATGTGAAACTTCTATGTTCAGAATTAGTCCAAGCATGTTGATTGATACCAGTGGCCATTAGAAGCCTGTGGTTGTGAAACTTGTGCCAGAAAACTTGACAAAGGCTATGCCAAGTAAGACAGCTGCTGCTACACATGCCTGGTTTCTAACAGTACTAACTTTTCAACCCATATGTTTAGAGGTTTTTCCACGAGGCATATTGATAGTACATCTTGAACTTGGTGATTAGTGTGCTTAGGAATGCAGGTCTCTTTGATACTGGGGCAGGGGGAGAAGAAGAAGAAGAACAAATATTCTGAGAGGTTACCCACCATAGATCTATTCTAGCCTGGTGGAAGTTGAATTCTTGGAGAGAGGGCAGTGAGAGAAAGGGAGAGGTAACAATTCAGACTGATAGTAATGTTGGTTTTCCACCCTTTAAAGGGGTGAAGTTCTAGCAAAAATATTAAGAATTAGATATTTTTATGTAATTCTGTATTTAAATGCTAATTTTTCCCATGAACACATATATCTTTACACTTTTTGCACTTTACCTTATGAAAAAGAAGAGATCTATGAAAAGCTGTTTTACATGTTTTGTTGTTGCTGCCATTTTACAAGAAGCTTTCACAAAACCACCCTATATCTCTTTTTGTTCTGTTAAATCCTGTCCTTAAGTATGTATTTCTGAAAATGAAAACTGTAAGCGACTAAAATAATCTCTTTAAATTCAAACACTCGGGTAATTCTAATACCTCTGTTATGTCTTTGGAAAGGTGTCCTAATATATTTATCAAGTCTGAAATTTAGTGAGCAGGAAAACTTATAGAAAAATTTTTTTATGAATCTGTACTTTTAACTGTAGTGATTTTACTTTTTTCTCCAGAAGTTATTTACTGTAAAGTTTCTTCTATAATAAAGGTGTTGGGGTTTTTTATGAGGTAATTAATTTTAGATATGTACATCAAAAATACATTTTTCACAACTTGTAGTTGTGAAAAGACTTTAGATCATCTAGACTGACATCATGAGTTAAGCAAACCAGAAGTTCAATCCCGTTGTTCTAATATGAAACTTAACAGCCATATTGAATGTGGTAAATAAAGCACATAAACAAGAAAAGCCTGCAGTCTTGACTTGTGAAAGTCAGTAAATAGAGAAAACGTAACTTCCTTTTGTAGATGTTTCAGTAGTTACTCATCATAATTACTGAAAATGTGTCCTTGATCTTTATTCTAATTTACCCAGCTTTACCATCTGTTTGCTGGTGGGGAGGATTGTTGTTTTTATACAATTGTCCATCATTACTCAGGATTACAAAATAGCCATAGCATACCAGAGAACAAGAGTAAGATTATGCATTTCACTTATTTTCAGCGTTATCTCAGTACAGTGTGTCTAAATTGTCCTTGTGGGCCACTGGGGCCAGTGGTACCTTGAAAACAAAATCACTGTCAGGGGCCACCTAGAAGCCTGCTGGACCTCTCTAGGGTGCACAAATGGAGGTTTACCTGGGCAGGTTTAGATGTGCCCTTCAGGGCTGGTGCAGCATTGCACAGGTTGTGTGCAGTCACTGTTGCAGGCTGCTGTGTTCTTCATGAGGCTGACAGAGGTATGTAGGAGATGTCTGCTGGATGAGGAGCATCAGAGGTGCATGGATTTGGGATAATCCAGTGCTTCTAGCCTCTTCTGAAATGCCTTTGAAGGATTCATATCTCACTGCTAGGCTTTATTTCCAAGTCTTAGCAATGACCAGGTTTCACTATTAGTACCTTTGCCAAGTAGTATCAGATTTCTGGAGTACAAACCCTCTTATAGCTGTTACTTTGTATTTGATGCAGGCAGGGCTTTACTATGAAGCCCTTAATAAATGCTTTGTCACCCTTTTTAAGGTGATTCCTCCCTTGTTTGATGAAACAGTGCTACTGATACCTGATGTAAAGAAGGACTGCAAAATCATCTCTTAGAGTTATGAAAATTAAAATTTCTGTGTTTGACTTATAAGGAACCTGAACTTCATAGCTGGTGGCAAAATTCAGTTTATATTTGATAAGATCTCACCCCAGGTGCTTAAATTATGATGTACTGGAAGTTCATGTAGAGCTAGGAAACTGATAGTAAAAATTCTTAGAGAAGAAAGTGCTTGCTTGCAGAAGTAATATCACCAACTGATACACTGGACAGTTTAGTTATGGTCACTAGGTACTTCAAGCTCAGCTGAGATGTTTGTATGATTTATGTAAAAAAGAATTCAAAAGGGAAACAATAACTCCAAGTGTGTTATTGCAAAAATAGCTCATATAAAAACACAGTAGAGAAATTCTGAATGTTGGATAATTCCTTTGAGATACATTGTTCTGTAAGCTGAACTCAATTTACATCTTACTTTGTATTTCATTGTTGCCATCAATTATTTACATCAAAAATGAAATAACTTGAAGTTTAACTGCAAGCTGTTTTGTGATGTGATAAATTTAGCAATTGGAAATTCAGAGCAAAGGACAACCACTGACATTCCAGATCATAGTGTCCAAGTGCAGAGCTTTCAAACTGACTAGGACTGTGATATATATGATTAGTGTGTGTCTTCCAGATTTATGACATTTGTTTTATAAGTCTTGAAATGCTGCTGCAGTCTAGACTTACAGCAAAAATAATTAAGCCTATAGAGGGAGTATTCTAAAAGGGAGGTAAAGTGATGTGATCTCTGCTTTGAAGTGTGATGTACTCTGGGAAGAGTATTTGCCTAGGCAAAAGTGACAGATTGATCAGTGTCTTATAGGTGTCTCTTTATGAGGAGTGCTACAGTTTAACATCTGAAATTCAGTCTTTCTTATGCTTCCTTTCACTGACAAAAAAAATAAGAGAATGGATTCATGGAGTTGTTGCAATAAGGTATGGAATGTAGGTTCACAGCCTGAATTTGTTTGATCTACAGAATCACTAAATAGTTTATATTCTAATACTTTTTCTCCTACTATACTATGAATCTGTGGGGTTTTGAGCGCTGTAGTTAATGAGATACAATTAATCTTTAAAGTTCTCATAAGATTTTTAAAGGGACTCATTATTTGGATTTACAAACTATTATTTTATTGCTGCACATTTTGTCTTCCCCTTTTAAAAAGATAAAAAGATAAGATAAAAAGATAAAACCCAGTAATTTTCTTTTTTTTTTTTTTCATTTATTTGTCACAAGATATTTACTATTATGTACTTTTCCCATATTTAACTCTGCATATGTGACATGTTCCTGGAGCCAGTGTTCAAATAAAAGCTACTTGCAGTGAAACTGTTTAGGTATCTGTTAACAAATGCAGTTTATGTTTACTTTCTATTAGTCTATGACAGTATGCCAAGGGCACTTCTTTCATATTTAATTTATGGACCTCACTGAAAGCTAAAGAAGCTTTATATCTGTAATGGGTTTGAAGCAGAAGATAACTTAAACAGTGAGCAATGTTTTCAATTAAAAGCTAAATCTCTCTTCTGAAATTGGATGTCTCTTGAATGCTGGTCTCTTTGTTTCTGTGTTTAATATATTTGCACTGCAACACAAGTGGTTATATATGACAGCCTTAAGTATCTTCAGCTCCTCTTAGCTGTAATACTGTAATTAGTGCCTCAGAGTTCCAGGCAGGTTTTCTATCTGGCTTGGAGTCAAAGCATAAGACTGGATTCTCCTGTCCTTGCATGGGTAGTAGAGGACATGAACTAAGGAGAGGTAGGGCAGCCTGTTTCTGCATTTGTGTTACTTGCTGACTGCCTTAGAGCTGTCCTAACTTACCTCCAGCTGTTTACATCTGCATCAACTCTTTTTAGAAGGATCTCTCTATCTCTTACTTTGCTGGTTTCAAAATTCCTAGCTTTTACCACAGATCTAGCCTGAAAACTCCTGATTTGGCAATAAGATAAGCATATTACTAGAGTTTTCTGACATTCTGTTTTGCATGTCTGTGCTGCCTTTCAATACACAAGTGACTTTATGGATTTTGGAGCACACTTAATGAATGGATTAGCTGAGCTAAGCTCACTGTATGGCAGGTGTGAGGCAAGGACTCCACATTTGCCCTGCAGGGGATGGTAGTCCCAGTGGGTAATTCTGATATCCCAAGGTAGTCTTAGCTGGAATCCTTACTGTTCTTTATTCTTGGGCATAAGCCATGCTTTGGGTGAAATGTCACAGCACCAGTCCTGGAGGAGATTTTTAACAGCTTTGAATGCCAGTAGTAAAGGCTTCCATGTATGCCAAATTTCACAGTTACTCCTGTGAAGAGCAGAATGAGGACAACGTGGGAATTCTGTTTTGCAGTAATGTTCACACTGCTTTGCACTTTCCCCAGATACTCCTGTTAAGCCATGAGGTGAAGGTGGAACATGCAGTAAAATGTTAAAGCTTGTATTGTCGTGGGCAAACCCACTTTTCATCTAAGCACCTGAGTGTAAGGAGTTTGCTGTTTCAGACACCTACTCACCCTTACCCATACTTCTGTATGTATTGCATTTTTGCTTTGTAGGGCTCTCATTCACCCATTGTTTCTCTAGATATTTGTTCAATCAGCCATCACCATTTTACCTGAGCAGTAGGCAAGATGTGAGTTTTTGTAGCCTCCATGGATGTGCACACACAGACACGCTGTATTGGCCCAGAATAAGTAATTATTTATCTCAAATATATGAAATGTCTAATCTGTAGCTAATTTTTAAGTGCTTCCCTGTAATTTTTAAGACAAACACAATTAGAAATAATACTAATTTAGAACACACACAGTAACTCAGTATAGAAAGAAAAACATTCAGTTTTAATTATTTAATGGTACAGCATATTTTATCATTCTGTTAAAATGTATATTTTTAATTCAGAGTTGTATAATGTAGCATTTGTTAACTTCAGCTAATTTTTTCCCAGTAATTTAAGCAGTTTCATATTGGAAGTATTTAATAGCATATGATGGATAAATCAGCAGCCATAAAAGAAATTGCTCTATACTTTACATATCAATTGTAAGAATTAAAAGAAAGAGGGAGTTTCCTGAGCAATGAGAGCAAAGATTTCACATCTGAAAGATTAAATTCCATCTTAAAAGGGGATTAAAATGTTTAAATGCAATGAATGCACTTACTTAAATATTTCCTGGAGAGTAATATGTGTGTAGGGTACAGAGATGAATGCACTTTAAAGGTTGATTAAATGTTCTCAGATTGCTGTAGGTCTCAGCTGTGTAGAAGAATGTACCACACCAATCCCTGAAGTTTTTTACATTTCCATGCATTAAATATAGTAGTGCATGTGCAGATTGGGGTCTCCCAGAGTATGATATAAATATATTATGAAACCAGAGAAGAAATCCTCAAAGGCCTTTGTGTGTCTCTATCAAACAAATGATTCATACACTTGGATATGTGTTAAATGCATGAGAAAATTTTCATTTGGTATACAGACTTCAAAAGTGTGTTTGCTTAATTTTTCCCTATTTGGGAATTAAATTATTAATTTTTTCATCAGCCTCACTGTGATTTTTCAACTTTGCAAATTTTGAGTGTTTTGTTCCAGTTCTGGGCAAACAAGACATCGAGGTGCTGGAGTGTATCCAGACAAGGGCAACGAGGCTGGTGAGGGGTCTGGAGCACAAGTTCTGTGAGGAGTGTGTGAGGGAGCTGGGGGTGCTTAGCCTGGAGAAAAGGAGGCTCAGGGGGAACCTTGTCACTCTCTACAAGTGCCTGAAAGGAGGCTGTAGCCAGGTGATGGTCAGCCTCTTCTGCCAGGCAACGAGCAACGGGACAAGAGGACACAGTCTTAAGCCATGCCAGGGGAAATTTAGGTTGGACAGCAGGAAGAATTTCTACATGGAAATGGTTGTCAAGCATAGGAACGCCCTGCCCAGGAAGGTGATGGAGTCACCACTTCTGGAAGTGTTTAAGAAGCAACTCAATGTGGCACTCGGTGCTGTGATTCAGTTGGTGAGGTGGTGATTGGTCAAAGGTTGGACTCACTCTTGGAGGCTTTTTCCAACCTGAATGATTTTGTGTTTCATCTCTGAAAACTGGCTGCTCATAATCTGCCAAAACTTTGGACTATATTGTGTAAGATTTAGGTGACTGATGGCAAACTCACACACAGAAAATTTACCTGTCTTTGGGCTACTTTATCTGATTACATAGATACCTGACTCAACTTTCTGCACTGCAGAGGAGGTCTGGGACTGCAGACCAGTGTGGACTGATAAAAATACCCAGCTTGGATCTGACAGTAGCCCTCTCAGAGCTGGCCTTCATTTTTTCTTTAAAAAATTTGCTTGTCCTGCCCTGTATTTCTGTATTTAGGAAATTCAATGTTGTAAGTGTGGATTTTTTTACCAATAAACACAGGGGTTTTTGTGAAGTACTGGATGAGAGTACAGTCAAAGGTGTCCTAGTTGTAAAAAACTGATAGAAAGCTTATAACTTTTTGAGCAAGATGCTCTGTTAGCAATCCTGATCTTGGAAGTCTTGTATGCTGGTGTTTGTTGTGAGGTAAGAAAATTTCAAGAAAGTTAAGGCACAGCTTCAGCTACCAGTATGCTCTACTAATAATTTTTCTTTTAAGAATAGACATAAATTTTGTAACTGCTGTGAGTTGGAAGTGGAATGTATCTCAATAGTCTGACTTTACTGAGCAATTGGACACCACTACAGTGTTTTCAACTCACTTAGGGAAACAAAGAATATTTCAGTTTGGATCTGACCAACTTTGTCTCTTCCCGAAGTTGCTGACCAGCAAAGAAGAGAGAAACTGAAAAAGAAGATAGCCAGGTGTAGAGAGAAGTTAACTGTGTGTGAAGCTGGCTCTCCATCCCATCCAAGAGACAGAGGAAAGGCTCAGCCATCCTCTTCTAGAAAGGTATGTATTTTAATTCTGTTTAATGGATACTATCATGTACTTCCCTCCCATAGTAACAGCTCATCACTGCTGTGCAGCAGTGAGGGCTGGCATCTTTAAAGCAGCAGAAAGTAGACAAGGATCTTCTGGCATGTGCCCAACACTGAATGCATGTCTTGACCTTCTGACAAAGATGTCAGGTATCTGGATGAAGAGTGCTTGCAGTAAATACAAGGTCTAATTGCCCATGAATTCTCTTGCTTTCACCTCACCTGAAATTCCTGTCCTCTGTCACTCCAGAGCTTTGTACCATTTCCTAAGGCAGAGCTCTTTTACCTCTGCCCTTCCAAGCAGAAGTATCAGGAATCTTCATTTTTTTTCTCAATGAAAAGTCCTAGTTGGTAATACATTTTTCTCTAACAGTATATTAAATCATTCAGTTGCATTTCTTGAAAGCAGAAATAATGCTTTCAGGACCAAAATATGCCATTCTGTATGTATATATTCTGCTTATATGCATAGACTCACCTAGTTTGACTGGCATTTCATGAACCTATGTGGTGTATATTTCTAACTAATAAATAAATATGTAAATAGCACAATAAATTACATTCTTGTTCATCACTGTAAATGAGCAAATGCATTTTGAAATAGAATAATGACTTAACTCTGTGATTCTAACAGCATAAGCTTCATACATTGTTTAAACAACTGTGAAGCCAGAGGACATTCCCAAGTAGTACAGCAAGCACTGTCAGTTTCTTTCTGTGTGACTGATTTTTGTAGCAGGCAGCCTCAGTGTGACCTTATTGCAGTGCAGAGAAATAATGCTTTGAAATTCAATACATGGCTCCTAGTTATGGATGAAAGCACAGGCATGAATAAGAAAAGGGAGGAAATGGGATATTTAAATCTAAATTTTATTTTTATTAATACCATTTTTGTCCTTCCATGTTATTTTTTTGCAAACTTGGAGCAGGCAAAGTTCTTTAAATTCTTTCATTGCAAAACCAAGTAACCTGTCTCTCTTAAATACTGCGTGAACTCCCAGCTTTAAAATGAAAGGATGCACTATAACAAAGTGCAGCTTTTTTCCTTTGTTTTTCAAAATAAGATTTTCTAAAATTCTACCTGAATTGAGCTGGCCATGAGTAAAAGCTCTGATTTGAACAAGACTTGGTATTTCATATCTCCTGTTCAAGTAATCCTATTAATAGGCATTTCTGGCTGCTAATGATTTTTTTAAAATAAATTAATCCATGCCAAAAGTCAGTTGAAGGAAGGGTGCTTCGTAGGAGGTTAAATTTTCTCTTTTAATCATTTGAAGTGTGCCTTTGCCTTGACCTTTCAAGATCTCTTTCAGCCTGTTTTTTTGAGATTTTTTTTTCTGAAGAATGAAAGTTGTGGCCATCTGCTTGTGCATATGAAATATAGATTAGGAAACACCATTAACTGATTCTAGTCTCTTGTTAATTTTGTATGCAACGCACATGTGACTGTGTGAAATGCCTACTGAAATGCTTTATATTTAAAAATTTATTACACTCTTATGATACCAGCAATCTGAACATGTCTTGTGCTTAAATTAATTCTGTCATAATGGAAGATGTCAGTGACTAAACAAAGCAGAAGAACCTTCTGAGCATCAAAGAAAGTTGTTTTCATTAGGAATATTCAAATTTCCTTTCAGACTTCATAGTGATAATCACCTCTTGTGCTGGTTCTTTGAATTAATGCACACTCAGTATTACTCCTTCTTGATAACATCACAATATTTGATAAAAGTAGGAACCTACTACATTAAAGAATTGGCAACCACACACATGCACAAAATGAAAGAGTGTACCAGGACCATAGTTTTGAAAAACAGTGATCCCAGGATACAAACTGAATATATTTATAGAAGGTCCAATTTGTTCACATGTTTTTATGAATTTTCTGTAAAGGCAGCTTGTCACTTCCTATAGGAGAGTTTTGCTCTATCCAGACAGCAGAGAGCAGGTGCTCAGCTGACTTAGAGCAATATTTAAATGGCTTTCTCAAGTTACAAGAATCATACACTCATTTATTGCAAATTTGCAGCTTCTGTATCCTGACAGTGCAGTTCATAAGGCATCTCTTTGATCTCATTTTATAATGGTATATGAACTATTCTATTGGAAGACGTTTTCATACAAGAACAAGTTAAATTCAAGATTAAACTAATCTTACTGTAATTTCAGTGACCCCAGTGAGAGCTGCCTTGGACCATTTATGTGAAAAAGTATTTAGCAACCTTTCTTTTCAAAGTTTGGTTTTTATAAGGCAGCTGATACTTTAGTGACTTTTGAGCTGGAAAACTAAACTTCTTGTAGAAATTAAAAGTAACTTATAGAAAAATCTGGATTCTTTCTTTGTGTTACTACTTTTGCCCATCAGATGACAGCAGGATGCTTTAATGTATTTTTACTGAATTTTCTCTTCCACAGAGTCCATGAAAATTCAGAGGTCCTCTCTCTACAACCTTGTTGCAAAATACTGCTCAGTTTACCCCAGTTTTGTGACTAATAAAATTGAAGCATAGATACATACGTTATGAAACTTTTTTAAGGAATTGCTGAAATGTATCATTGAGTAGATTTGCATCTTTCAAAACAGATTGTACTTGGTTGAATTAACAGAATATAAACATATATTGATAAGCAAGATACAAGTCAAGATTTTTTACTCCAAATTACATTAGTTATAGTTCTTGATAGTTCTAACAGCTAAAGTTCATTTACTGTACTAGAATTTCTTTAAAATTTTATTTGAAGAATAGAACTAAGTATATTTTAATAAATTTGCTATTTGTAGGCATGTTTTTGGTCTTTTGTTTTTGTTTCCTACTTAAACATCTGATGTTTTTAATGGAAAACAGAGCAGCAAGTGAGCACACTTTCTTACTTTTTTTTTTGCAACACAGGATAATTTTCTAAAAAAGAGACAAATTGCAGACAAACAGCATTCTCTGACATTCCTTAAAATCTTTTGAAGTGACATTGTTCCTTGTTCATGGTATTGTTTCTTTGCCTACTTGGAGTGTACTTCTCCCTGTTTGAGTGGTAAAGTTTTGCCTCAGGATAAGGGCTTTGACAGACATTCTTTTCTCAGTGTTTGGATGAGTACATCTCACAGCTGGCGCAGATGCAGCTTTGGGTTGCAATTCTCTCTAGTCACGAGTGAGCTACTTGGTCTGTTCTACTTATGAAATATTTGAGGAGAAGAAGATAACTGCCCTAAGCTTCCTCATACATAAGGAAATTAGGATATTTCCATGTCAACCTTGTGCTTTTTTCTTGTTTTGTATCAACTCAACTGCTTCCGAGGAAGGGAGCGTGTAATTTTCATGAGGTGTAGGTAAATAATTGGCTAATATAACTTCATATCTTTTCATAATAATTATTTTGCATAATGCAGGGAAACAGTTCTTATATGCTCACAAATGCTTCTACAATACAATTTATATTGCAGCTCAATGAACTGCTTTAATCACTGAGAGTAAAGCATTTACAAGAATTAAGCTGTTTAGAATATACACTGAAGGGTATGGAATTAGCTTTTATCTATATAGGTGGATGCTGAAACTTTCCAGTCTTATCTGTTTTCTATAATGCTGAGCTACCACTGCAACCACTTTATATGCAAACAATCACACTGGTAAGCCTCATTATTCTGCTTGCTAACACAGGCATTTGTTTGGCATTGTAACTGCATGTTATCAGTTCAGCATTTAATTATGCTGTAGTAGTAAAATGCAGTTCACTCACATGGGACACCATCAAGAAGAGCATATTTTGCCTCAGCTAAGTAAAAGAAAACTTTTTTGCATTACGTACCAGCAACTCTGGATATTTAGGGCTACTGGAATAGTTGAGATAGATCTTAGTGATGTGAGATAAAATTATAAAGGAAATATATGGTATGATGGCAGTGTGATCTGTGACTTAGTTTTCACAATGAAATACCTGCATTTTTAATATTCTTGTAAATAGCATTTACTGCATGGGACAAAATGTGTATTCATAATAATTGAGCTTTAATTTAAAATATTGTGTTTGAAAAGAAAAAGAATGAAATAGTGTAGATTTTAAGCAATAAAAGTAGCAGAATTATGAGAAACTGGAGCATTTATACAGTAAGAGTCTATTGCTAAGAATTTCTAGAAACACCTTTTTTAGGGTTGAATGTTAGAATAGAAAAATCTTTGTATATTTACAAGCTATACTACCAATTATATAGGTTAATATACTACACTATATCTTACTGGTATACTAGTAATATATTACTATCTTACACTATCTATTTGTGGGTTACAATGTCATGAATTTTCAATAAATGCATAAAGATTTCCAGTTTTAGTCATTGGGGTTTTTTTTCTCCATGCTCACCCCAGTAGGAAACTCCAGAAGTCTCAGGACAAGTATTGATTATCTTGCAGAATCTCCACATGCACTTTATTTTGCAGTTGTTTTTGTGAAAAAATCACACATCCAGCCTTCAATCCAAATCTTAATCAGCTGATTATTTTCAAAATGTGTTCTTGAGGATTTTCTCAAGGTTTATATTGTGCTCAGGCAATGCAGCCCTATTGGAAATGTACTGGATCTGTATTTCTGTCTTACTCCCTCAAAGCAGTTTCCACATAGCTTAATTGTGAGATCAGGATAGGCTACTTGGTGAATCTGTGAATCTTCTCAACTGGCATTGTGGTTGTATGTCATAAATAAATGTCACAGCACATGTACAGGTCATACCATACTGCATCCACCCTTTCTCAGGCTTCCCATGGGGCACATGTTCCTTCAGTAACTTCAGTAATGTAATGCTTCTGCTTAATAGTTTTTCCTTGGCTGATAGAAGTATAATAGAGATGAATGAAACACATCTGGAAATCATCTTCCTTTTCTTCCTTTTGTCACTGCAGAGGTTATGGTCTGTACTGGTGCCTCCTTGCCTTCCTGTTCCTTGTTAGGTGGTGGAGGTACATGAACAAGTTAATTTCTGTGTTAGCCTATCTGAACTAAACTTCAAGTTTGTTAAAAACCTCAGATGGCTTAGAAATTTAATTTTCTTCTTTGGAAACACCTCTACTTGTATACATTCTCTTAACATCTTACAACAATTTATTGCTGATGATGTGGACCTATATGAACTGCCCTAGTGTTAGGAAAGTATGATAGTAATTTTAGAAAATTAGCTGTAGTCTTTGAATTGGGTTTTCTCAGATTTTATAATTCAATTGTTGTTTGGCCTTGCTGATTGCATGGCATAGCAGTGAGATTTTCCAGAATAACACTATCCTCAGCTTGTCTCCCTCACTGTTGCACTGTAAGTCCTGTCTCTGGGAGTTGCAGTGCTAGACAGTTAGAGTACACACAGTGGGAGTCATCTCTTCTGCATCACACAATTGTTGAATTTCATACACAGTTATATGTGTGGATGCAATAAATTGGTTTATACAAAATTTTGTTTGCTGATAGGCTTCTGGTTTAATCTTCCAGTTCTGCAGCATGCTTGCCCATGGAGATTGTAAAGTGTCATACATGATTTTCACTAATAGACAGAATATTCGGTGGGTGGCTGTATCCTAGGTAGGAAAAGAACATACAACATCTCTTTCCATAAGGTGTTTCAGACACATTGTAAAGCAAAATTAGTTGTCCAGGTATTTATGCTTTGATATTGCAAGTTTTTCAAAACTTTATGGCTGAAATAAAATTTCTATTTAATTGTTCATTCTAATTTAACAAAACAAACAAAGAAATGACCAAACCAAAAAAAAACTCCACCTTAAAATATCACTTGAATTTAGTTGTGTTTCTGTCTTATTTGTCTTTGCCACAGTGTCATAATACAATTCTGGAATAATCTTGAATTTTTCAGCATGGGATAATTATGGGTAATGTCTGCCTTAGCTTGCCCAGGTGGTATGAACAGGGGGGAATATTTTAACTGTTCCAAATTATTTGACTCAGTGGAATGATTTCTTGACTTTTAAAAATTTATTGATTAAACTCTTGGTTTGATGTAGCCATCAATATTCTGTAACAGACCACCAATGTTTTGCTACTGAAGTAAACCATTTCTTTATTACTCTTATTTCCACTGACTAGGTTTTAAAATCTGTTAGCACTGAGGCTCTAAGATGGTAATTCCCAGTTACCAACTGGGTAGCTCCCAGTAATAGCTGGGAATACCATCATAAGCAAAGCAGGTAACTTGCAAAGCAATCAGAGGTTGTTTTATTTTTTCCAGAGTGCCTTGGAAGCAGAAGATGGTGTCTCAGCCTCTGCTGGGCAGGCACAGTACCTCTCAGGAGCAGCATCTTCTCACGGCGAGGAGTGCGCGGTTCACTCCGGCGCAGGGAAGTGCGCCAGGAAGCGCTCTCGGCACGCAGCCGGGGGCTCGTACTCCTGCCTGTGCGTGTCACGGGCCGGCCGGCGCTCCGTGCTGCCCCGCAGCCACTCCATCGAGAGCTTTGTCAGCGTTGTTGGCTGTTCCCAGAGCTGCCATGGAAACCACCTCCAGGCCAGCGGCGGGGACCTTCTAGAGCGGCACTCGGAGTGCTTCACCAAGAGCCGGAAGCCTTTCACTCCACGCACATTAATATCGGATGCTAAACCTTTCCTGTCAGACTACAGGTTTTACACTCCTGCTCAAAGGAGGAGGAGATGTCACCACCACCACAGATCATACCTTGTGGAAGCTCAAACACAGACTGATATGACCAGGTACAGAGAGTGAAGTTTTATTTTGAAGCTCTGGAATTTAGATGTTATCATAACATCTTCATAAAGGCGAGATGTTTTGTTCTCATTACATTTGCATAAAACCAGAATAATTATACTGATGTCTTACTAGAACTTACAACTAGAATAATTATTCTAGATGCACCTTAGCAAAAGCCAAAAAAGAATGTGATTTTCCTTTTTTCATTGGTGTATTTTCCTGTCTTCATTCTGGAACAACTGTTTTAATTTATACAGATTGGATACAAAGTGCCACTAAATTCAAACTGTGGAATCTCTCATCTGCTGAGAATAATCATTCCCTCTCTCTTCCCTATGCTCTCTGATGTATAGTTCTGTCTTGTAAAGAATTAACCAATATAAGAATGCAAGTAGTTCCCACTATTGTCTCTGTAGTCTCATGCTTTCCAGTCTGTTAATTAATGCATCATGCAAACATCTTTTTTTAACTCTTGATTGCCACTCTTCGTTGTTTTTTTAATTTAAATACCTTTGTACATACCCTGTATAAAATACTTGAAACAAAATTAGTGTCCTCTTGCATTGAACTTCTTAGCAAGTTGAACAGTTCTGACTTTGTTTCTACCGATACTACCGTGTAAAGAGAAATCTTTTCCCTTTTGTGGCCTCCATGCCTGCATGTCCAACTCCAGTTTTGTCATAGAATAAATTAGGAATTTCCTAAGACTAGAATTATGGTATCTTTGACTCTGCATTGCAATTGTAGATTTTCTGTCTGTGGCTTTTCTATTTTCCTGGCGCACTTTTAATTTTAGGATCATCTCCATTCTTAATTCTGAACAATTATTTTGAATAGTTCAGTTATCCCCTGCTAATATGCAGCTAAAAACTTGTATTGGATCACCTGTCTGGCAGAAATTTTCTGAACTGTTTGGTACTACAGTCTTTTGAGGCCGATGAGACATTTCCACAGTGGCACTGCTATTCTCATCCTACATTTTTTGAAAGTAGTCTACTTGGGAATCTAATGCCTCTCTAAATTTTGTAGCTTTCCACCTGAAGACAAAATGCCTGTGAGAAAAGTTGTGAGTGAAAAGCAGAAGGTCAAGTACAAGGTAATGATGCATCTCTCAGTCATCTGGGTACTCTTCCCACCACCATCACTGTGGGGCAATGCACTTCATCACTGCCACAGCAGTGAGCAGCTGATTCAGGTGTTCTTCTCTCTATTGCCATGACATTACTTAGTTCCATGGAGGAGAGAGAATTTCAGAACACTGAGTGGAAACTATAAGAAAAAACACTGAGTCACCTGAAGAGATCTCTTTGATTTTATTTTTTTTTATTGTTTCTATAAGTGCACTATCAAATATCTGCTAAGGTCATGGATAATTGGTACATGGCTTTCCAGCAAAAGGTGTCCCATTTGTCTGTTTACCCAGAGTTTCTCAGAAAAGATATGGAATTTCTAGGGCTGCTTAATCACAGAGAGTTGTTAGATTCATTTTAATGGTGAAATTTGCTGTATATTTGCACTGATAATAAAGATTTTTGTTTCTGTGTTGTAGGCTGAAGATAAAAGATATACTTTGGATGAGCCTGAGAGAGGAGTAGATAAAAGATATACCTTGGATGAGCCTGAGAGAGGAGTAGATAAAAGATATACTTTGGATGAGCCTGAGAGAGGAGTAGATGATTTTCAACTCTCCATCCCAAGGTGCCTGATTTACAGCAGGAGGGAATATTTGAAATGTCCTTAGCTGGTCCTTAGGCCATAAGTCTTCACTAGCATTTTTCTTTGTATCTTCTTCTCATAGAACTTTTATTGGGTTTTTTATATCAATAGCCTTTTCCAACTTCAGAATTCATTCTTTTCTTGTGATAAGTTCAACTGGGAAGCCAATTAAGAAAGAGAGCTCTGAAAAATATGAGCATTTTTGTCCGAATTGACTGATGAGACATTAATACAGTTGTTAGTTCTGTACATCTGAGTTCACAGACTGTTTAGTACTATAGCTAAATACTGCATTGCAGGAGCATTTCCCACATCTTTTTCTGAAAACTTAATACTGGGATAGCTGTAATACAAGAACAGTGCTGGAAATCAGGCCAGAGCCCAAGGGCTCCAAGCTGATTCTCCTCATTGCTGACCTAAGTGTCCACGCATGACTCGCTGATTTGCTCTCTGGCCTTTTCATACAAAGGCATTTTTATCTGAGGTAAAAAAATGTACTCTGAGCTAAAAAAGCATTCTTACAGATAACAGAGATTGAATAGCATCTGGAGTATCACCAAGGTCTTCTGAGCACTGCATCAATGGAGGTGGTGTAATACTCCTGAACTGTAATCTTTCAGGTTTCAGTGCCACCAGGGGATTTTGCTCCTGGAGCAGGGTTTAGGGGTGTTATGGTGGGTTTTTTGTGAAAGGGAATCATATAATGACACTCCATGGCTCCAGAAAAAAAGTAAATGTAAGGTAGTATAAAAGGGATTTAGAATGTTGTTTTTGTCTTGCCCCCTGATTTTCTGATTAGAGAGACATCATGGTGTCCTCAGAAGTCTTCATCTTCACCAGAGAGAACTGACGATGCTGAGTAAGTATGCTTTCAAACCATTTTTCTTCTCATTTACAACATCAAACTAGAAGGCTTTCCTCAAAACTGATGAACTTGAAAAACAAAATACTTTAAAAAATTTATGTGAATCAAAAAACAAAGAAAATTTATTTTATCTTCAGAAGATTGTACAGTGCCTATAGTTTGTTTGCATTTCTTTTTAGGTCTGTAATCTCTGAAGCAAATACTGGCAAATGAAGCACCAAATTGAAAGGCATTCTTACCACATTTCTGCACTGAAATTTGATGAAAATTAGTAGAGTTTTGAGTTATATTTAGAAACACTACAAAGCTTCATCAAGTGGCCTTGGAAATGTCATTTAATTCTTTGTGCTTTAGGACAGCCTTGTGTATGCCTAACTTAAGGCTTATAATAAAGGTCTCAAATACCAGCTGTAGGCAACTTCCTTGACTACAGAGGGAACCAAAAATATCATCTTTAGGCACAATAACAAATTGTATATAATGAAAATAATGCAAGATATATTCAATTTTTTATTTTCTGTTTATTAAGACTGGAGAATGACTCAGAGTTTGATTGGATGCTTTGGGAGACTTAGAAAGATGCTGTGAAAGAGAAACTGAAATATTTTCTTTTGGGGTTTTCTTTCCTGTTGTCTTTCAAGCAGAACTCCAGACGTTTTTACTGTCCAATTTAGAGTAATTGGCATCAACAACTCTTTTAGAGGTACTAAAATAGAGATAAGAGGTGAAAGTCACATCTCACACTAAGATTTTATCCATCAAGGAGATATGTTGAAATGAGTGGATGCTGCAAATAAGCAGTTAAATCCTTTTCGGCTTCCATTTACAACCAGGAATTTTCAGAGAAAATTCTCTAGAAGCTCCTTTGGAAGCCTATACCCAGAGCATCAAACTGCAATTGTTCCCTTTTTTCCCAGTTAGCTCCCCTTTCTTGAGTGCAGTGCAAGTTCTGAACTCTTGCCAAGATTCACTGATTCCCTCGCTTGGGATCTCTCTGCTAATTTATTCTCCAGCAGAAAGTTAGCATAAAGGCAAAGCCCTGTGACCACCTTTCTAACAGTCTCATACTTTACAGTTTTTTATTATCCTGATTGAACAAAAGGTTTAGCTTGTCGTGATAGCCTTACCTTTTATGAAACATAACTGCTGATGTAAGAACTATAAAATCTTCTTAATGACCTTTCCAGTGAAGGTGATTAAACCTACTAAAATATGTCATATGTGTTTCTATGGTAGAACATTTAACATTGGGGTTTCTATTCTCCCTGCAGAGAAGAGGAGCTTTTGTATTTAACTTTCATTGAGGAAGTAACAAATGAAATTCTTCAATTTGGCATATTTTCTAACAGGTAGGTTACAATTGTTTTCAATTTTGCAATGCTATGTCAGAAACCCATGGACTCCATGAGTAAGGGAAGTAGTGATTAGTAATAATGTCTTTATACACACATATACACAGTTAGCCCTTGCTTTTGTTTTGTTTCCTCTTCTTTTTGCTTTATGTAAGAAAGAGGAACTAGGAAATACCTTTGGGTCATCGACTTTGATCTGCTGCTATGTACCATGAGATAAAAGCTTCTGTAAAAACTGACCTGGAACCCTAGGTGGAAAAATACTAAGAACTCATTTTAGTCTGCAACATCTGTTTTGTTAAATAAACTGAGTTACTAATCTTTTACACAACAGGTCCTTTGTCCCCCTTCTGTCCTTCCAGTTCCAGTATGAATTCAGTCTTCAACATGAGTTACAGGGTTACATTCTCTTGCAGATAAAAGTTCACCAACTGCTAAATCAGAATTTTTTTCAATATGATACTGGTTCTTTCTAATAAAGAACTCTCTATTTATGCAAAAAAACCCATTGCAGTATTTCTATACATACACAGAATATATATACAGAATCTTAACCCATTTTTGAAAATCTGCATTCAAGGCAGTCTAATTTCATATATTCTGATCTTGCTTTGGGTTGATAATGTTCCCAACTGGTTTTGCTATTCTGTGTGCACTTATTTTTTTTTTTATATGTCAAGGCTGTCAATAAGAATACTAAATACACCAAGTAAAAAAATTCATCTTCAAGAAATTTTGAGAGCAGTCTACCTCTGGCTCTTTTACAGTAATTTTTTCTTCCACTAGAACCCTTCTTACACAATTTTTTTATAATTTCACATGTAAGCTAGATTAAATTCACTTGACTTTCTAGAATTCTGTTCCAGTGACTGTGTACTTTAGTTGTCACAGAACACTTTCTTTACAGAATCTTTTTTCTCATTCAGCCTAAGAAATGGAAGAGAGCTCTCAGGACTGAGTATTTTTCTCTGGATTTTTTTTTTTTTACTGAAGCTGGATTTTATTCATTCTTTTTATTTATTCTTGTGCATAGCAGCCAAGAGATTTTGGATGCTTCAGCAGGCCAGTAGAGTCACCACTGGATTGGAGCACATAGGCACACCAGTTGTACTGCAAGTCACCCCACAATTGCCATGTGCTGCCCAAAGCCATGTCTGCCTGCTGAGCATGTGTCCAGTGGGTTGCTGACTACAGGTAGTTCTCTTTGTGACACAGTGGAATAGAAACAGTCTTAGAGGTGCCATTCAGCTAAGAAATGGAAATAAAAACATACTGTCATTAGGTTATGTACATCTGTTAAAAGTTGGTTTTCCTCCTGTGAAATAATTTGATTTCTTATTTACAGGGTTCTGGATCAACTATTTAAGTTCCATATAGAAGAAAATAAGAACCGCCTTGATGAGGTATGTGCTGCCCTTACCGTAGTCTCTGCATATGGTTTAGGTGACATTTCCAAAGAGCTGGGCAAAGGCACGGGTATATTGGAGGGTAAAGGTAACCAAAATATTCAGAATACTCAGTGGGGAGCCTCTCTCTCTCCATGAATGAGATCTGTTCACTCATGGGTCACAGCAGATCAGGAGTCACAGGTACTGTGACAATGAATGGACAACAGTCAGTTCAGTTTGGTGACACTCAGTGTTTCATTTACTCACTTGATTGGAAGCAGCCTCCCTTTCCTTCTGTCAGAGTCCAGCCCTGTGTGAGCAGTGCTCAGGTGCCATGGGGCTGGAGAAGTGTCACCCTTTTCCTCCCTCACCCCTTAGGGCAAAATGCGCCAGATGTTGGAAGTGCTGAAATCAGACCTTGGCTGCGACCAGGACAGTGACACAGAGCAAATCCATGCAGATCAGGAGGCCTCGGGCCCACTGGAGCAGCACAAGTGTGGTACAACAGAAGAGCCTGAGTTTGACAGTAAAGGTCACAGGCTGAGGAAAGCTACAAAAAATGAAGAATTCCTTGAGAGCAGGGACTTGTCATCAACGAAACCACACCATTGTCGATCAGTGTCCTGGAGCAAAAGGACAAGGGAGACGCAGGGCAAGGAGGACTTCTCAGAAGATACCACTGAAGTGATGGGTGCTGGGAAAGAGTCTGATTTCTGTGGTGTGGTGTTTGAAGAACACCCAGACACTTCACCCACCTGTGAGGCAGCTTCAAATTGCTTTGGTTGTTGCAGTGATTATGACACCAATAAGGAGCTTGATGAACTTGATGGAAACTTTGCAGAGGCCCTTCACATTTCACCTAAGTATTCATAACTGTACCCAAAACTTACCTGTTAAACAGAGATAGAGCTCCTTCTGTGGTGAACTGCCATTTGTCAACCAATAGTAAATTGTTAGGTTTATTTTCAGTTATTTCTGTTTAAATACTGGTACGATCTCTGTAGCAGGATACTATTAATTGGGCATTAATCTCTGTGTAAATTAGATCTTAAAGGATAAAGGGTCAGTTAAGGGTCAGTTATCAGAAGAATTTTTTGTATTTTGCCCATAATTGTATAACTCAAAACAAACTTGAGAATATTAAAACTAGATTTATATTTTTAGAGCTGTAATAATAAGTTATGAAATATTTATTGATTTAAATAAATTAATTGATAGCGCATTTATGATCCTGCTATAAAGATCTGAGATGTTCTAGTCTGCAAGAATTCAACAACTTAACATAATCTTAACATCAAACTATGTCCTCTTCTGGAATGGACAAGCAGTTCCACCATGCAGTGTGCTTTGTTACCATTTGCAGAAGCCCATCAATGAAAAATCAAACTATTTAACAAGAAGAAAATCCAAATTTTAACAGATCTATGTAGATTAATGGCTGCAGTTTTTTATTTTTAGTTCTTTACTAAATGCAACTGCTAAGTTCAATTTCTTGCACTGATGACAGCCATGGCATAGCATTCTGCATCAAGCTCTGGTTTTGGAAAATGATTGAATTGCTTACTGTTTGTTGACTAGAACTGTGTAGAAGAAAACACATCAGGCACCTCATACAGCAAATGGAAAATAGGTGGTGTATTTTCTGGTTTAAGTTTAAATTGAAGTTAGTGCATGCATTGCACGAAATCAACCCAAATGTCATTGTTTAATCAGAGTACAGCTATTACCTGACATTCCTGTTGCTGCAGAATGAGTTTAACAGGTTCTGAGGAAATGCTGACAAGTTACATTGTCTTGTTGTAGGTGAGGAACTAGGAGAAGTCTTAGGAACCTGGATTAAGCCTGTCCTCTGATATCTCCTAGGGTCAGTTTCTAACCTCCTTCCTCCAAAAACAAGCCCAAGCTGTGCCAGTCCTTACATAACAACTGCCACCACCTGCCTCCCCTGTGCCTTGACCAAAGTCTGTGACTCCATCAGCCAGATGACCCATTGCAGCTTAAAGGAGCTGAACAGACACAGACCACTGCTTCACTTAGGAAGCATAAACTTTTAGACAAAAAAGAAATTTCAAAAAACAGCTAAAGGAAGGCAGTCAGAGAAAAACATCTGGCATTATCACAGCACTGCAGTGCAGAGCACAATTTCAAAGAAAGCAAAAGGCATTTTCCTGGGTGCCTTGTCCACAATAATAAATGGCACTTGTTGACAATGAAAGGAGACAGAGTTTATTTTAGCCAGGTACATGTGGCTGGGCAGATGGGCACCAGCCTTTCATCTGCCACGCTCAGTTGGTTGCCTTGTAAGCCTGGCCTGCAGCGTGAGTGCTCTGGCTCACTGAAAAGCAGGTGAGATAATGTGAGCACTTCCACATTCCCCCATCAGAGCCTGTCTTGTTGAAAAGATGTGACCACAGGGCTGAGTCAGTGCAGTGCAGGGAGGGTTTGTCCCTGCACAAGTGATCACAGACCTCCTCCCATCCTCAACTCCCTCTCTATTCCTTACCCAAGGGAGCTGAACAGAAAGGATGCCCTAGGAAAACTTGTTTCTAGTCTATGAAGAATTCTGTCCCACAGGGACCGGTTCAAAAGCTAAAGAACATGGTTTGATGCATACAAGTATAAAGCCTCTTTGCTCCTCGGCCAGGACTTCACCCACTCTTCAGGCCCTCCATTCCAAGTTCTCCATTCTTGGTCAATAATAGGAATTTAGGGGTTTTTTCCCTTCCTATCTCTACACTTGTGACTTGTACATCATAAAAAATGTCACTCAGCAAACTCTGGCTTCTGGTCTGCATGAGTCTGATTAAAGATTAGTAAGAATTTCACATTCAGATTTCACATGCAAAAATACTTTAGGAAAATCACAGAAAGACTCTAGTGATGACATACTCATTTCCTGTAATACAAGTAACATAAAAACAAATAAAAACCTTGACCATATTTCCTATTGATGAACTGTCTCAACATCAATGACATTTTTTTCTGAGTAACTTTTTTTTCTGGGTAACAGCAACTTAAAAGAGGAAAAAACTTGATTAAGAGAGACCTTTCACAAAGAAAGCACCTGTCTTCCTAAACTGTAAGTGTGAACATTTATTGGATTCACAGTGACATGTCTGTTAAAGAAGCAGAGAATTACACACCCCAATATCCAGCAACTGGAGCAGTGAGTCCAGTCCACCAAACTGGTTTCTCTCATTGTAGAGGCACTCCTATAAGATAGGCACTCCTATAAGTAGGGAAAAAACATTTTAGATAGATGCTACCTGTATAAAATCAGTTTATGTGCAAATCCAAGAGCAAATTCAGGCTGCCTTGGATTTAAAACTTTCTCTCTTCTATTCACATTTACTTTTAAGATAGTGCTTAAAATGTAAGTTGTTTAAAGACCCTGATATGCAAGCCTGACCCACAGCACTGTTAAGATTAATCAACACTGCAAGGTTTGGGGATTTTTCTGAGGGTTTCAGTTGGTTGGGTTTGAATTTTTTTCTCTTGTCAAATTTTACTTTGTGTTGTTCTCAAGTCTTGGCACAAGCAGTAGCAGAACAGGGCATCACACACCATTACATGCCTGAATCTTAAGCTTGGGAGCAGTCAGCAGCAGTGATCTGCAGTGTAAAGATTTTTTCTGCCCAGATTCATGTGGGTCATGAGTACACACATCATAACATCAATGTTTTTTCAGATAGACAAAAGCCTGCTAGTGTTACTTTGCTGTAACAAAACAGCCCCTTGTCTATAAAGCTATAGTTTTGTCATCACTGCTCTTTGCTTCAAAGGTAGGATTCTGTTTATTTACAAAGCAAAGTAGGGATTTTGGTCATTTGAAGTAAAGATTAACAGGATCAGAGAATAAAGGTGCTCACATGTCTTAGGGCTGACCAGAAAACAACCAGCTTTGAGCCATCCTTTTATCCTTGATCCACCCAGTGTTTAAAGCTCCTACAGAATTTTCATCTGCTTAGCTGCAGAATGACCTCAAAATTTTGTTTCTCTGCATTTCTATACACTTTAACATTTATAGCTATGCAAGAGTAGTTGTAAGAAGGATGCAGCTCAACTGACAGCATTTAATGATTCAAGTACAAATGGCTCCGCTGGACAAAGGGGAAAAAAGGCGCTACTTGTTTCCTCAGCAATGTTTGGGCAATGTTTATGAGTAAGAGAACTAGAACATCAGCATAAATAAAAACTAGTCCCAGGAGTTTAATTTGTAGCCCCTAAGGCAGGCTGTTCCATCGTGGTGACAGCACAGTTTCTAACCAACAAGATGTTCTAATAATGTCCTTTAGTGCACAGCTGCTGTTCTGGTGTCTGAGTACCCCGGAGAGGCAGCAGCCCCAGGCCACAGCCTGGAATAAGTAGAAATAGCAATGGAGAATGAATGTTAAAGAGAATACAGGAAGAAAGGACTGGCAAAAGGCAAATTGTTGCTGGTTCCATATTTTAAAGTGAGGCCTATTACTGGCTAGAACACGGGTGCAATGTAGAGATTGAGGTGCCACTTGTTAACATTGGCTTTCAAATGTATTTTACCTTCCTGTGTATACCTAATGCATGATACCAGCTTTGTATCATAGAGCTTGTATCTGAGACTTAAAAATTTATGCAAAGGGGAAAAAATACAAAATTGGAACTCAAGGTCTACTTCAGTATCTCACTTTAATTTTGGACCACCCAAGGCAGGAGCATACATTGATAAGCAAGTGGAGGGCACTGCAGCTGTGGGATGTTCCAAAACCATCATTTTTTCTCTGGCCCTTCCCAGGCACTTACCCTGCTGTTCTCAAGAGCTGACACCTGGTATGTACACAGATTACAAGGAACGGAACAGCAACCAGTGATTTTAACAAAAATCATTTCTCACTCTCCAAAACAACCAAACCAGATACAAGCAGTCCAATCTTCCTGTTTCCTTTAGTGAAATCTGCTTCATTCAGAAACAACCACCTTCAGTTTGTATTCCAGTAGTAAAGCAAGTCATATGCAAACAGGTGAGCAGTAAATTAATCTGCCCCAGCCACTGCCCCAGCACGGTCACAGCCAATCAAGGGATCCAGTTACAAAACCTGTAGCAGGTCGTGGGCCAGGGGAAGCTGAGCATGTCACAGGGATAAAGCATCACTGGGAAGGGAAAAAGCTGAAACAGCAGTTGCAACTAGCTCAACAAATCATCTGAGTTGTAGAACACCCACCTTATCTCCATTTTAAAGCCTAGGAGGAACTCCAGGGCAGTTGAGGAGTAGCAACAAGAATTGCTATTTCAATTGAACGGTACCAAAATGAAGGATGAAGTACTGTGCATGGGACTTTCTGTTCTCTGTAGAAAGTCTCCAGAATATCTGGGTTCCTAATGGTACCTTTTAGCTCACCCACTAAGGTAATTCTAGCTGACAGCAAGGGCCAGGAGGTGTGCCCCACAGCCAGGTGACAACACACAAAACTTCACTTGCATTCATCTTTGAAGCCGTGACACTGGCCTGCAAAAAGCACAGGCTCTCAACCCAACACCATGTTTTAGGCTGGAGGAATGCCAGACTTCCCCACAGGCACCAACACAGGCTTGCTGCTCTTGTAGATCTTTAGCACACACAGGTTCCTCTGCAATCTTTCCAGCCCTCCCACACTGGGGGAATGAAATCAGACCTTGAGAGGGCAAGGAAAGGCTACATAAATGGAGTAGGGAGGCCTCTGAAACCTGAGAGAGAGACTCCAGCAGAGCTCAGGCTGGCAGGCAACAGAGCTGTGCTGTCCCATTCTCGTAGGGGACAGGCAGCGTGATCTGTAGCACGAGGTGCAGAGCTCTCTGCAGTTATCCCAGGAATTCAGCAAGCCTGTAGGACTCCCCTTACAGTATCTGTGTGAGGGCTGCAGCATACCTTACAGCTCACAGCAGCCAGAGACTGGGTCCAGATGAGTAACACAACTGTGAGGTGACCCCAGCTCTTCCCAGTATCCATTTCTCTCACTCATGAGCATGCTCACATGCCAAAGAAGTGAAGACACGTGTTAAAGGCCATCAGCTCTCCTGTCAGCCTGAGAATTCCTCGCAGGACCTCAGAGGTGCAGCCTCTCCAATCAGAAATTCAGCTCAGAGGCATTTGGCACCTTGCTTTTTCCCAATGTTTGACACAAGTGAATCCAGAGATGACACAGATAGCACAGGTTTGGAAGCTGGCTCTGAGGCTTCCCAAAAGCTGGGCACAACATCTAAGATAACAGTGGGTTCTAAGAGAAAGACAGAAGAGCTCCTGAAGCTTTCATCTTGGTTTTCCCTTCCCCAGACACAAGCTTGCATAGTGGCTACTCCCATCCCACCCTGACAGCCTTTATCCTTATACAGGGAGTTTCAGCCTGAGCATCAGTCTTTAAAGGCCCTTGCTATGGGTTTCCATAGGGTGTGTTTCTCCATGGCTCCTCCTCAGTATTTGAACATCTTAGAGTCTCTGTTCAATTCTCTTAATGGTGCTATCTGATCTCCCCAAAGGATTCTTGGGCACATCTCCCCAGCCAGCTCCTTGTTTCTCCCTGTACCTGAGGAAGCAGCAGGAGGTGAGAGCACAGCCCTGCCATGAGACACCCGTGCTGCAGTCTCAGACACACTCCAGTAACAGCTCTGAGGGGCAGGGGAGTGGTAGGCTGAGCCAGCCCATGGCCAAAGTTACCTTCCCAAATATCAGGAAATTCAACCTGAAGTATTTGTGAATCATTTCCTGAATGTCCATTACTCTCAGTTCGGCTTATTTGTCATTATTAAAACACCAGCACTGTGCAGAGAGATAAGGCTGACCTTTTGTCCTGAAAACAGGCTCAAATGGAGCACTGTACTTCCAGCTTGATGGCACATACGCACTGAAAATGCTAAACTCACCATGGCAGCCCTCCTAACACCATGGCACTAAGGACAAATTTGCTCTGACTGCAGGGAGTGCATACACTCAGCAATGCTCCTTATTTTGGGTAGAATGAGCTTTTTTGCAGTGCAAAGCTACTGCATCTGATACCTGTCATTTGGATTCCTTTTGTTCTTCTGGGTGAGCCAGAAACTTCTCTCATCAGCTCCCATAAGTTTCTCATGTACCAAGTCCTGGAGCTCTTGCCCAAGAAAGCTCCTGAAGTGCCAGATGAGCCAAATCCAAGCATCAAGCCGTGTTCCTGTCAACCAACTCTGACTACCAGAAATCTCTAATGGGAATTTTACAGTGGCTGGAAAAAACCAACTGCGGTTTAAAATCATTTGGATTTAGAGGAAATTTAGGTTTCTGAAGATACCTTTGCCAGAGGTCTAAAACCAGTATAAATAATGTGTGATAAAAACTGCTGAATGCTTCACCATAAGCCTCAGGTCCCAGGAAGTCTCATTTTCCTCTTTTGGTTTTGAATCCATGTCTAATAAAAGAGCTTTGCTTACAATGAGCATCACACAGGACATTCCCTGGGACTTGGAACTGCTCTGACAAGTACAGATGGATCTGTGGTTTGTAACTGTCTTACCTTAAGCTGATTAATGCCTTCAAACTGAGTGTACCTAGAAGAAAAAATTTAGCTAAAAGCCTGATTGTTTCAGATGGAGCTAGGTGGACAATGCTCCAAATAAAGCAAAGACAAAGGATATGCACTTGTCCAGTGTGAAGCTATAATGTCCAGTGTGCAATTCTTGTATTCACCTCACAAAGCCTCATCCATGCTGTACCAGGTGTGTAGAGCAAGCTGCTGCATCACCTCCCTTTTTAACTCAATGCCAATTCTAGAATGCAAATAACTTCAGTGCTTGTTGTTGGCAGCAGCTCCAATCATAGTAAGCATACAATCAACTGTTTCTTCTCTCAACATGCTTTTAGAAAGGGTTTTCCAAATTTCAAAGGCTTTTAATCCCTCCTACACTTAAATGTTAGAGGGAAACTGGAAGTTCAGTACCAAAAACAGCTTTAGAAAATGCAAGACATTGTGAAAAAATATGTCAGAGCAGCAGGCACAAGATTTTCCTGCCACAAAGATGACACCTATTAATACTTGACACAAATTTTATACCCAGTACTTGCAGCACATTGAAGAGGGATCACACCTTTGTGAACTGAAGGCAAAGTCCCATCTTAGGACTACACATGAAGA